TTATTAATTATATATTAATAAAATCTCTAGATTTTTAGCTTTATTTTGATATATTTTTTATTAATTTCTATGCAATAATTTTTGAGTAATGAATAAATAAAAAATTCCAAAAAGTTTTGTTACACACTGTATATATATAGAATTGCTTATTATTTGTGATGGACTAGCATTTTTTCGACCAGATTTCAAGATATTACCGAAGTTAATGCTAGTTTATCTTACAGATTTTTTTTTTCTATCCGGATTAAAACCGGATCATGGAGTAGACTGTGGTGCTTAGGCATTGTATCATATCACTTTGTAAATACAGTATGTATCACGGCTACGAGTATTAAAGTGACTCTGGTAGTCAATCCACATATACACATTCGTGTGCATCGGAAAAATACGATTTTTTTTTTTTTGGCGAAATGATCGGCGTGAAAAATTGTCACATGCGAACTTGAATTGTGCAAGCCGAGATTAATTCGTTAAGAGAAATAAATTCCAAGCCCCTAACTGAGATTACTAACTTAGAAATGAGAATGCCGAAAACAAGGCTGGGGAATGTAAAACTAAAATATGCTTTGAAACATGAAACCAGATTCTCGAACCTAGAACAAAGAGATAAAGAAAAGACCACCCTTATTGCTAAATAGATGATTATATCAGGGAAATCAAACAGGAACAAATGCAGTTAATATTTCGGCGCAAAGCAATAAATCCATACCAAAGTCTCCAATTCATTCACAATAATCTATTTCGTCATCTATTAAGGATCATTCTGATCATTTTATTGAAGATATTAGTGCTAACCTTATATCTCAGGATTTCGATTCAATACCTTTAGATTAAGTTAATATATCTTCCGTTATAGATCTGTATGTTACTACCGAATCTTTCTTAGATGAGGTACATAAGAAGAATATTATCAATGAAATAAGGGATTGCCGAGAGCACGTTACTGAATATTTCACTGAAAAAAATATCCTGATTACGCCTAATATTTATGAAAAACCTACTACTATTATGAAGAGACAGATAACTGGGGTATGCATACGAGGATTATAATAGGGGATATTACTTAAATTAAATATCAGAGAGATAGGCTTAAAGAGGCTGCGGTATTCTGAATCGATATCGGAAATATTCTTGCGAAGAATAGGGGCTGTGCGACGTAAGATTTGCATGCTTGTATAAAAAGTGTTATGGAATCCGAGTTTGACTTAGAGAAGAAAATGCTAGATTTATGGCTAAGATAAGTGGACTCGAGTTCAAGAATGCTGAACTTGAGGTCCAAAAAATATATACTGTATATCCAAATATTGTTTTACTAATAAGATTATGTTTTTCGCGATACTTGTAACGCATGTAAAAGCTTTTCATTATTACGTTCTGCACTGCTTCTCTTCCAATTTCGCGACTCTTTTCCTAAGCCTGGCATTCCTTAAACCATTATTCGCATATGGGATTTAGGGATGTGTATGCGGCCCCCAGAGGGACCTGCTAATCCTTCGTCATTTTCATTGATTTGCAAGGGGTTGATAAATGACGAAATGCAGCGCGTAATTACTAGTGAAGATCCAGGAATTGATTTCTCCCGGACATTTATCTGCGCTATAAAACAAGCAAGAAATTACATTTTTTTCAGAAAAATATTACCATGGAAAACCGAATGAATTCAGCTAATACGGAAGCCAAAATCCCGATTACTACTGAAGATATCATTATGGAGGACCTAATCGACATTTTTGATGAATGGTGACGGTGGTAAAGGAAAAATAAAGACTTCGGAGCCTTACAAACCGTCTCTTGTTAATTACAGAAGCCTCGCTTATAATAAAAATTTAATGCTCCTTCCAAGACAATCACAATACTCAGCTGTGGGCATACCTTTCACGGGCTATGCATCGAGAAAAAATCTTATCACAATAAGACGAATGTATGCCCATTACCAGATTGTAGAGAGATTATTGATATCTTAGAACTTCCTTCTATTGTGTATGATTCGCCAGGAATTCAGCTTACACTAAAATATAGATTCCAAGAAAATTCTAGTGATTATTACAAAGAAGACAGAATCATAGCTCTTACGGAAAATATTTTCAATAAGACTAAATTATTGGATATTATTTCCTGATATCCATAAAAACATCTTTTTTAAAAGAGAAATTTATCAAATATATTTTATTCAATCCAATGTCTCAAGAAGAATTATTATATTTGATTTTTATATAATATCTACATTAACTTTTATATATTTTTTAACTAGCATTTATCTTGGACAATTTTTAATTCTATAATTTTTGTATATTACTAATCTTATAATATAAATTGTGTTGCAAAACTTTTTAAATTTTTTATTTAAAAACTACTATGTAGATATTAATAAAAATTATATTAAAAAAAATATAGAAAATTTATTAAAATAAAATTAATTATTAATTACTGTATATTATTGTTATCTTTAATTATTGATTCTTTTATTTTTTTATTAAGTTATAAAATTAATTATAATTCTATTTGAAATTTTCTTATTCTTTTATCAAAAATTATTTTAATTTTAAAAAATTTTAAATCAATTATATATATATATATATTTTAACAATAGATCAAAAGTTTTCAATAAATTGAATTTAAATTATTAAAAAATGAATTGATAATTTTACTAGTATACTTAAAATTATTATCTTATTAAAAGAATTAATTATTTTAAATATTTATATAGTATATCATATAATATATATTTAAAAAAAAAACAATATTTTTTATATATATTTACAATGAGTTAAATACTAACTTGCCTACAGTAGTCATTTAACTTATATTAAAAAAAATTTAAACTAATATAACTGTTAAACAATATTGAGTAACTATAAATATCTATTCAGAATTGAAAAAAATTATTTAAAAATAAGATCAAAAATATATAAATAATAATTAAATTTGCTTTGAATAAATGTTTCAGTAACAAGAATTGAAATATTTATTATAAGATTGTTTTTTTAAAAAGAAATTAATCTGTTTATATTATAAAAACTGGAATTAATTTTTGATTTATATTGTTTTTAAAATTTGATTTTATTTTAATTATATTTATAAATAGTAATATATTTATAGTATTACATTATAGTTTTCAAATAAAATTATAAAAGAGAATTAAAATTTCAATTATATCTTAAATTAGATAATATACTCTGAAATTGAATAATTATTAAATATAATTTTATATATTAATTAAAAAAAAAAAACTCTTTTCCACTCCCTTTTCTGTGCTTGAAAATTTCCTTTTTAGGAACTTTTTGAGTTGTCTATTTTTTCTTCGTCTCTTCCCTTCTCCTTCCCTTCTCTTGGTTACAAACCTTTTATTTCCCTTTCTTTCTTCTTTCCCTTTTCTTCTATCTCCTTTTTTTACATCTTTCCCCTTCCCCTCCCTCTTTCCCCTTCTTTCCTGCCGAAGTTAGGTTTTTCCTTCTTTCTGAAGTTTTTCCTCTTTAGGCCTCTCCTTCTTTTCAAGAATACCGGGACCCATCTCATCACCCCTCTGGCCAGTCGACTCTATTTTTTCAAGGGAAAATAAGAAGTGGCAAATTTCTTCAAGAAGTGGGTCTTGACAAGTTTTTCTCTTCCTGTGTTTTCCTCAGAAAAAGGATGGATGGTTTACCTCTCCAAAAGATCAGCATGACTATTATTACCAAATCCGGCATTGTTTACTTGTTGATGGCTAGACTAGATACGTCTAAGAAACTGGTGCATACTATTATTGGCTGAATCTCTAGGTGCTGCGCCTTATGGGAATCTAGTAGGACAATACGTGAAGATCAGGGATTCTAGTTACCCCGCAAACAGAGCTGATGACGTCAATCGCTTACTCCTCGACAATGTAGATCTCTTGTGCAAGGTTAGGTAACAACGTCTATAAGAAAATCCAATCCAACTCTATCTATTGGACACTTCCGCCACACTTGGACAGTGGATATGCCAAATCCTTTTTGTGACTTGGAGGCCAATCTACATAAAGTAGCTACAGCGCCTTTATGCATTAAGGTAACCAATTATGAATCAAAATCCGGCAGTAATGCCACCACCGACTCCTCTTGCCGTACATCAAGCC